GGATAGAAACTGCTAGATCTGTCCAAAATAGTTTTATTTTACTGAAAAAGAATTGATTAATAACTTAATGTTTATTTTACAACAATTATGAAGCTAGTTTTATCAGGTTATATTAATTAGTCACACCTGGTTAAAGTTGAGGGCACTGTGCTACCAGCTGGCAACCTTTATTACAGGGTAACTGGCTAACTTATTTTATTAGATGGGATAGAAAATTGAATTTTCCCTTTTCTCTTACTTTTATGTATGACAACAGATGTGGATTCACTTTATGGATGGGTGGTTGTTAATATTGTGTTGAACTTTGTTTCAAGAATGAACCTTTAGTTTGTAGTCATCTAACAAATGTCTAACTACCTCACGTTTGTGGTTTTAACTACCTGTGTAAGTGTCACTGTCACATAAAAATGTGTATTTGACAGGATTGTGTGTGTAGTTTATCTTCACATGTGTGTAAATGTGTTTGGTTTATCTTCACGTGTGTGTAAATGTGTGTTGTTTATCTTAAACCTGTGTGTAAATATTGTGTGTGGTTTATCTTCACGTGAGTGTAAATGTGTGAGGTTTATCTTCACGTGTGTGTAAATGTGTGTTGTTTATCTTTAATCTGTGTGTAAATATGTGTGGTTTATCTTCATGTGTGTGTAAATGTGTGTTGTTTATCTTAAACCTGTGTGTAAATAATGTGTGTGGTTTATCTTCACGTGTGTGTAAATGTTTGGTTTATCTTAAACCTGTGTGTAAATAATGTGTGTGGTTTATCTTCACGTATGTGTAAATGTGTGTGGTTTATCTTCACGTGTGTGTAAATGTGTGTGGTTTATCTTCACGTGTGTGTAAATGTTTGGTTTATCTTAAACCTGTGTGTAAATTATGTGTGTGGTTTATCTTCACGTATGTGTAAATGTGTGTGGTTTATCTTCATGTGTGTGTAAATGTGTGTTGTTTATCTTAAACCTGTGTGTAAATAATGTGTGTGGTTTATCTTCATGTGTGTGTAAATGTGTGTGGTTTATCTTCACGTGTGTGTAAATGTGTGTGGGTTATCTTCACATGTGTGTAAATGTGTGTGGGTTATCTTCACGTGTGTGTTAATGTGTGTGGTTTATCTTAAATCTGTTAAATCTTAAAGGTTTACACATGTGTGTGTTGTTTATCTTAAACCTGTGCGTAAATAATGTGTGTGGTTTATCTTCACATGTGTGTTAATGTGTGTGGTTTATCTTCACATGTGTGTAAATGTGTGTGGTTTATCTTCACATGTGTGTAAATGTGTGTGGTTTATCTTCATGTGTGTGTATCATGGGTATATTTTAACTTTGGTATGTGAATAACTTATCATAAATATAAAGGATAACCAAATTTGTTGTTCATGTGGATGTACAGTGAAACTTCAATTGTCCAGACACTTCAGATTTTTATCAAAATTTCACATTTTCTTCATTCATAGTACTAGGAGTCATTCAGAACCAAGAAGTAAACTTAGGGAAACAGTTGTTTTTTTCAAGTTTATCTGTGTCCTGACTAAAGAAGTTTAACTGTGTCCTGACTAAAGACGTTTATCTGCGTCCTGACTAAAGTGTCCTGACTAGATAAGTTTATCTGTGTCCTAACTAGAGAAGTTTATCTATGTCCTGACTAGAGAAGGTTATCTGTGTCCTGACTGAAGAAGTTTATCTGTGTACAGATAAACTTCTTTAATCAAGACACAGATAAACTTCTCCAGTCAGTACACAGATAAACTTCTTTAATCAAGACACAGATAAACTTCTTCAGTCAGGACACAGATAAACGTCTCTAGTCAGGACACACATAAACTTCTTTAGTCACGACACAGATAAACTTGAGAAAAACAACTGTTTCCCTAAGTTTCCTTCTTGGTTCTGAATGACTCCTAGTACTATGAATGAAGAACCAAGAAGTAAACTGTTTCCCTAAGTTTACTTCTTGGTTCTTCATTCATAGTACTAGGAGTCATTCAGAACCAAGAAGGAAACTTAGGGGAACAGTTGTTTTTTTCAAATTTATCTGTGTCCTGACGAAAGAAGTTTATCTGTGTACTGACTAGAGAAGTTTATCGGTGTCCTGACTAAAGAATTTTATCTGTGTACTGACTAGAGAAGTTTATCTATGTCCTGACTAGAGAAGTTTATCTGAGTCCTGACTAGAGAAGTTTATCTGTGTCCTGACTAGAGAAGTTTATCTGTGTACTGACTAGAGAAGTTTATCTGTGTCCTGACTAGAGAAGTGTATCTGTGTCCTGACTAGAGAAGTTTATCTGTGTCCTGACTAAAGAAGTTTATCTGTGTCCTGACTAGAGAAGTTTATCTGTGTCCTGACTAGAGAAGTTTCATTGGATGTGTGTTGAGTTAACGTTTCTGTATTTGTGTACGCGGTATGTGAATGTAACATCACTGGGGATTGTCTACCAAATTAACCAATCATTAGTGAATTTATACTATCTCTCCACAGGCCTCCTCCCTTCATTTAGGAAATTATTGTGGCATTTTTAATAAAACTGGAAAAAATATATACATAATGTGTATGAAAAAATATATATTCGTAAAATACTAAATTTCCAGGAAACGGATTGAAGGCCAAATTTCAAATACCGTTAGTGGTAAAAATAAATGTTTTGTTTGGAATCAGTTCAAATTTAGTGAATTGGTCCAAATTATATTATGTATAAAAACGTAAAATCACATTTTAATATTGAACTGAAGAGTCAACAACTTTAAAAATAAAGTTTAAAAAATTATGATTCCAGTGTCAGGTGGTGTTATTCAATACTTTATACATGTATGACCTAGCTGTATCAATTCCATCAAAACTTTGTTTTCATGCTTTATGTTTAAAAAAAAATTAAAAAAATACACTGTATCAAGTTTATCTCAACTTTTATAGTTAGAAGTTGTCCTCATTTCTTTCCAAACAATTGTGAAGCAGTGTTATATTATTTATGTACTTTCCCCTACAACACATTAAAAGTGAAGCCATTGTCTGTGGTAAGTGTTAACATTTCTTACTGTTGTTGTGGCAGTGGTTCGGAAGCATGGGAAGTTCCTGTCTTTCCTCCGGATGTTCTTCACCACCCGTCCAGCTCGAAACCAGCTCAAACAGTCGGGGATCGTGAAGGAGCGTGTGTTCGGATGTGATCTTGGCGAGCATTTACTCAACACTGGCCAAGAAAACTCGACAGATGGTAAGTGTCGTGTACATTGATGTGGCCAGAATTATTTATCATGAAAGTACATGTCTGCATTAAGATTGGTTAGGACTTGGTTTGTTAGCTCACCTGGCCCGAAAGACCATGTCGAGGTTATGCAATACTGCGTCGTCCAACGTCCGTCCGTCAACTTTTTTTTTTGAACGACTTCTTCTGAAGAACTGGAGGACCTGAGTCATGATATTTGGCCAGTAGGTACCTGGGATGGAGTGCTTTACAGTTTCCTCATTAAAATGATCTTGACCTACTTTCAAGGTCACATGGGTCAAATATGTTAAAAACTTCAAACAACAATATCCTAGGAACCATTGGATTAGAGTCATGATATTTGGGTATGTTATGTAGACCAGCTGTGTGAATTGTTTTCTTCATTACAATAATGAGGTCAAAGGTCAACTTTAAGTGCTAGTTGGGGGTCAAAGGTCAATATGGGTGAAAAGATTTAATGATCTTCTCAAGTTTCTTAAGGCCCACGGTCATGATATTTGGCCAGTAGGTACTTAGGATGGAGTGCTATAAACTTTCCTCATTAAAATCACCTTGACCTACTTACAAGGTCACAGGGGTCAAATATGTTAAAAACTTCAAACAACAATATCCTAAGAAACACTATACTTATAATTCAGATTGTTTTGATGAATTTACTGTGTCACTCTGTTACATTGCCCCTGGTGTTAGGACAGTATAATTTACTGTTTCACTCTATTTCAGTGCCCCTGGTATTAAAGTGCTGTGCAGAAGTGATAGAACAACATGGAATTGTGGATGGAATCTACCGACTGTCAGGGATCACCTCTAACATACAGAAACTCAGGTGGGCTCATTTAATCGTAAAAAATTATCTCTGCTCCATTACACCCTTAGTTATGCAAAGTTATGTCACTGCTTCCTACCATATATCCCCAGTAATGGAGAGTTATCTCACCCTTATTACATGTACAAGTTATCTACCCCTTATTACATGTTGATATTATCTCTGTGTCCTTACATGTATGAGCTACCTCCCCCTTATTACATGTACAAGTTATCTCCCCCTTATCACATGTAGATATTATCTCTGTGTCCTTACATGTATGAGTTACCTCCCCTTATTACATGTACAGGTTATCTCCCCCTAATTACATGTACAAGTTATCTACCCCTTATTACATGTAGATATTATCTCTGTGTCCTTACATGTATGAGTTACCTCCCCCTTATTACATGTACAAGTTATCTCCCCCTAATTACATGTACAAGTTATCTACCCCTTATTACATGTTGATATTATATCTGTCCTTACGTGTATGAGTTACCTCCCCCTTATTACATGTACAAGTTATCTCCCCCTAATTACATGTACAAGTTATCTACCCCTTATTACATGTTGATATTATCTCTGTGTCCTTACATGTATGAATTACCTCCCCCTCCTAAGATGTAATTGAATATTTGGCCTATATGTGGTCACTCCACTGTATGGTCGGGGTTTTGTTATATGTTTGGTGTTTGTCTACAGATTGGCCTTTGATGAAGACCGGGTTCCTGATTTGACAACTGACGTTTATCTACAAGACATTCACAGTATTAGTTCACTACTTAAGATGTACTTCCGCGAGCTTCCCAACCCTCTACTCACCTATCAACTGTATGACAAGTTCGCTGTAAGTATTAATATATTGAGGATCATGTACAACCTAGCTAGCCTGATATCAAAACTACTTAAATAAATCTAAATGCTTAAAAACAGTTTTTCTTTCTTTAGTCAGGAGAAAATGCAGTTCGAGTATTTATTTTAGAAATGTTGGACTATTTACAAAAATAAATTTTGAACACCTGTTCCCAGATTCAGATAAGTGATATGCTTCAAAAGTTTGATCATGATTTGCATTTTCAACATTTTTAAATTCATCAGACATGATAATATATCAGAAGATTTTCTAAGGAAGTACTTTTGTTGATAGGATGCTGTGCGAGATGAAGACAACAAACTATGGAAGATTCATGACGTGGTGCAGCAGTTACCTCCCCCTCATTACAGGTATCTAGTTACCTCCCCTCATTACAGGTAACTAGTTACCTCCCCTCATTACAGGTATCTAGTTACCTCCCCTCCTTACAGGTATCTAGTTACCTCCCCTCACTACAGATATCAAGTTACCTCCCCTCACTACAGGTATCTAGTTCCCTCCCCCTCACTACAGGTATCTAGTTACCTCCACTCACTACAGGTATCTAGTTACCTCCCCCTCACTCCATGTATCAAGTTACCTCCCCCTCACTACAGGTATCTAGTTCCCTCCCCTCACTACAGGTATCTAGTTACCTCCCCCGGATGCTGTGCGAGATGAAGACAACAAACTATGGAAGATTCATGACGTGGTGCAGCAGTTACCACCCCCTCATTACAGGTATCTAGTTACCTCCCCTCACTACAGGTATCTAGTTACCTCCCCCTCACTACATGTATCAAGTTACCTCCCCCTCACTACAGGTATCTAGTTACCTCCCCCTCACGACAGGTATCTAGTTACCTCCCCTCACTACAGATATCAAGTTCCCTCCCCTCACTACAGGTATCTAGTTACCTCCACCTCACTACAGGTATCTAGTTACCTCCCCCTCCCTACAGGTATCTAGTTACCTCCCCCTCACTACCGGTATCTAGTTACCTCCCCCTCATTACAGGTATCAAGTAACCTCCCCCTCACTACAGGCATCTAGTTACCTCCCCCTCACTACAGGTATCGAGTTACCTCCCCCTCACTACAGGTATCTAGTTACCTCCCCATCACTACAGGTATCTAGTTACCTCCCCCTCATTACAGGAATCTAGTTACCTCCCCTCACTACAGGTATCTAGATACCTCCCCCTCACTACAGGTATCTAGTTACCTCCCCTCACTACAGATATCAAGTTACCTCCCCTCACTACAGGTATCTAGTTACCTCCCCCTCACTACAGGTATCTAGTTACCTCCCCCTCACTACAGGTATCTAGTTACCTCCCCCTCATTACAGGTATCAAGTAACCTCCCCCTACTACAGGTATATATATAGTTACCTCCCCTCACTACAGGTATCTAGTTACCTCCCCCTCATTACAGGTATCAAGTAACCTCCCCTCACTACAGGTATATAGTTACCTCCCCTCACTACAGGTATCTAGTTACCTCCCCCTCATTACAGGTATCAAGTAACCTCCCCTCACTACAGGTATATAGTTACCTCCCCTCACTACAGGTATATAGTTACCTCCCCCTCACTACAGGTATATAGTAACCTCCCCTCATTACAGGTATCAAGTCATCCCCTCCTCCACCCAACCATGATGCTAAAAACAGAAAGGTTGGAAGGATGAAGAGAGAAAAAATGAAGATCACACTTTTTTGTAATGGGTACAACAGATTTATGTTGTTGCATTTGTGTCCCCAAGTAGAGGGTACAAAAGCTAATCCCCAATTCAGTAGAAGGTCCCCACATTAGTTGCCTCTCACAACATGAAGTGGGCAAGACCAGGTATATTCTGTTCTGTTCTCAATCCCTGCAGTGGTGAGATCCCATACAGTGTCAGAACAGACAAGACCAGGAATATTCTGTTCTGTTCTCAATCCCTGCAGTGGTGAGATCACGTACAGTGTCAGAACAGACAAGACCAGGTATATTCTGTTCTGTTCTCAATCCCTGCGGTGGTGAGATCCCATACGGTGTCAGAACGGACAAGACCAGGAATATTCTGTTCTGTTCTCAATCCCTGCAGTGGTGAGATCCCATACAGTGTCAGAACAGACAAGACCAGGTATATTCTGTTCTGTTCTCAATCCCTGCGGTGGTGAGATCCCATACGGTGTCAGAACGGACAAGACCAGGAATATTCTGTTCTGTTCTCAATCCCTGCAGTGGTGAGATCCCATACAGTGTCAGAACAGACAAGACCAGGTATATTCTGTTCTGTTCTCAATCCCTGCGGTGGTGAGATCCCATACGGTGTCAGAACGGACAAGACCAGGAATATTCTGTTCTGTTCTCAATCCCTGCAGTGGTGAGATCCCATACAGTGTCAGAACAGACAAGACCAGGTATATTCTGTTCTGTTCTCAATCCCTGCAGTGGTGAGATCCCATACAGTGTCAGAACAGACAAGACCAGGTATATTCTGTTCTGTTCTCAATCCCTGCGGTGGTGAGATCCCATACGGTGTCAGAACGGACAAGACCAGGAATATTCTGTTCTGTTCTCAATCCCTGCAGTGGTGAGATCCCATACAGTGTCAGAACAGACAAGACCAGGTATATTCTGTTCTGTTCTCAATCCCTGCGGTGGTGAGATCCCATACGGTGTCAGAACGGACAAGACCAGGAATATTCTGTTCTGTTCTCAATCCCTGCAGTGGTGAGATCCCATACAGTGTCAGAACAGACAAGACCAGGTATATTCTGTTCTGTTCTCAATCCCTGCGGTGGTGAGATCCCATACGGTGTCAGAACGGACAAGACCAGGAATATTCTGTTCTGTTCTCAATCCCTGCAGTGGTGAGATCCCATACAGTGTCAGAACAGACAAGACCAGGTATATTCTGTTCTGTTTTCAATCCCTGCAGTGGTGAGATCCCGTACAGTGTCAGAACAGACAAGACCAGGTATATTCTGTTCTGTTTTCAATCACTGCAGTGGTGAGATCCCGTACAGTGTCAGGACAGACAAGACCAGGAATATTCTGTTCTGTTCTCAATCCCTGCGGGGGTGAGATCCCATACAGTGTCAGAACAGACAAGAATAGGTATATTCTGTTCTGTTCTCAATTCCTGCAGTGGCGAGATCCCATACAGTGTCAGAACAGACAAGAACAGGTATATTCTGTTCTGTTCTCAATCCCTGCGGTGGTGAGATCCCATACAGTGTCAGCACAGACAAGACCAGGTATATTCTGTGCTGTTTTCAATCCCTGCAGTGGTGAGTTCCCGTACAGTGTCAGAACAGACAAGACCAGGTATATTCTGGTCTGGTCTCAATCCCTGCGGTGGTGAGATCCCATACAGTGTCAGAACAGACAAGACCAGGAATATTCTGTTCTGGTCTCAATCCCTGCGGTGGTGAGATCCCATACAGTGTCAACAGACAAGACCAGGTATATTCTGTTCTGTTCTCAATCCCTGCAGTGGTGAGATCCCGTACAGTGTCAGATTATACATGTACAGGTTTTATTGTATTCGTATTACTACTGTAGGGACATATATGTTATTTGCGACCTTTTTGTTCCAGGACTTTAGAATACCTCATGCGACATCTGGCCAAAGTGGCTGCCTATGGCCCTGACACTGGTATGCATTCCAAGAACCTGGCCATTGTTTGGGCACCAAATCTTCTCCGGTCCAAGGAGCTGGAGTCTGGGGGTGGGGCTGCGGCTCTCCAGGGGGTGGGGATACAGGCTGTGGTCACAGAGTGTCTTATACTCTACGCCGATCTCATCTTCAGCGATAAGATGCCATCATACTCTTCCCCGGAGCTCAGAAGTAAGTACCTCATAGCCTCTGTTGGAGGAAGGAACGGGTTTGTATTTGTCACCTGCAAAGCCAAGGTGACCTATAGGGATCATTCCAGAGCCGTTGTCCTTGTCCACACAAATGGTTTACATGCAATAACTCTTGAAAGAATACTGCTATTATTTACATGAAACTTTCTACCCATGTCTCCAGTATCAATAACCAACCCAAGTTAAATTTTAAACCAAAGCTGCCAGCATTTTGTGAAAAGTCACATGATTATCATGTGGTGACTCAGAAAGGATGCTACATGATCTACATGAGATTCTCTACATACACCTATACTTTCAATTAACCTCTCCAGTTTGATTTTAACCAGTCTGATAATCAGTCGGTGTGTTTAAGCAATTTTGAAAGTTATTGAGTAAGACTTAATGTTGTAAATTTCGGAGTCTGTGATGTCGAAAGAGAAATTTGAACTTTCTGAATAAGATCTTAAAGTTCAGCATGTCCTATTTTGTACCTTGACATCTGTGTGGAGGTTATTTTGTGAAGTAATATCCGTCTCACATGAAGAGATTCATATTCTTTATACAGTAAACCATGCCCCTGTGTTGCAGGTGCCCAGAGAAAGCCTCGGCCTAAGTCTCTAGCAATATCCACACCCACCAAACTCATCACACTCGAGGAGGCGAGGGAGCGTGCACTGTCGGCCAGCCTGCGTCCTCCGCCACAGAAGTACATTGATGTAGGAGGCGGACCAGAACGCCTCCCATCTCGTTACCACACGGTTATAGATTTACCAGGCTACAGGTACTGTTACATATTTACCAGGCTACAGGTACGGTTATAGATTTACCAGGCTAAAGGTACTGTTATAGATTTATCAGGCTACAGGTACTGTTATCGTTTACCAGGCTACAGGTACTGCTATAGATTTACAAGGCTACAGGTACTGCTATAGATTTACAAGGCTACATGTACTGTTACAGTTTTATCTGGCTACAGGTACTGTTATACATTTACCAGGCTACAGGTACCGTTATAGATTTACCAGGCTCCAGGTACTGTTATAGATTTGCCAGGCTACAGGTACTGTTATGATTTACCAGGCTAGAGGTACTGTTATAGATTTATCAGGCTACAGGTACTGTTATAGATTTACCAGGCTACAGGTACTGTTATAGATATACCAGGCTACATGTACTGTTACAGATTTACCAGGCTACAGGTACTGTTAAAGATTTACCAGGCTACAGGTACTGTTATAGATTTACCAGGCTACAGGTACTGCTTTACTCTTCTAGTCTTCAAACCAGACATTTATCCAAGCTTTTAGACGATGCTACATTTTATAAAAAGGGAAATAACTCTTTTACAAACTTCTGACCAATGACAGTGATAAAACTAGTTGAACTGTTTGTACACGTTAAATCAGAACAATTTACTAATATGTCCTTTTTACTTTATATTCATTCACAATCAATAATGTCAATGAATTCATAGACCTGTTGCATTATGAAAAGTTTTAAATGAGGAAATATGTGCAAAGTGGCTTGATGTTAAGTGGGAAGCTGTTTTATGAAGACAATGTTGAATTCTTACTAAGAAGCCTGTCACCTGAGATGTTGAATTCTTTCTAAGAAGCCTGTCACCTGAGATGCTGAATTCTTAATAAGAAGCCTGTCACCTGAGATGTTGAATTCTTACTAAGAAGCCTGTCACCTGACATGCTGAATTCTTACTAAGAAGTCTGTCACCTGACATGCTGAATTCTTGATGACTGGATTGGACTGGATTGGACTGGTCGATAGATAAGGTTGAGATTTACATCAGTGTAAATTTACATTATTGTTAATACAGCTACCCTAGAACAGTTGTGTTAATACAGCTACCCTAGAACAGTTGTGTTAATACAGCTACCCTAGAACAGTTGTCTAATTATCAGTATATCAGCTCCAGCCACTTTAGCTGGTAATTATAGAAGCAGGTTTATTGAGTATCTCACTGTGTACAAAAACATCTTGTACAGATTTCAAAACAGACAGCGTAACGGGTCTATCAATGAATTGTTCTCATGTTTCAGGAAGAAGACTTTAGTGAGCGGCAGTAACACTGTAGGCTACGGCAAGTCAAAGAAATCCCCGAGTGGCTGGCGTTCCATCTTTTCTCGTGGGCCACGACAGGGAAGCATCAAACAGAAGGGGCGTAAAAACAGCATAGGAGGTCAGTGTTCATATAGTAGGGGCATAAAAACAGCATAGTGTCAGTGTTTAAATAGTAGGGGCATAAAAACAGCATAGGAGGTCAGTGTTCATATAGTAGGGGCATATAAACAGACTAGGAGGTCATTGTTCATATAGTAGGGGCATAAAAACAGCATAATGTCAGTGGTCAAAAAGTAGGGGAATAAAAACAGCATAGGGGGTCAGTGTTCATATAGTAGGAGCGTAAAACAGCATAGGAGAGCAGTTTTTCAAATAACAGGAGCGTAAAACAGCATAGGAGGTTAGTGTTCAAATAGTAGGAGTGTAAAAACAGCATAGAAGGTCAGTGTTCAAATAGCAGGAGTGTAAAAACAGCATAGGAGGTCAGTGTTCGAATAGTAGGAGCGTAAAAACACCATAGGAGGGCAGTTTTCAAATAACAGGAGCGTAAAACAGCATAGGAGATCAGTGTTCAAATAGTAGGAGCATAAAAACAGCATAGGAGGTCAGTGTTCAGATAGCAGGGGCATAAAAACAGCATAGGAGGTCAGTGTTCATATTGCAGGGGCATAAAAACAGCATAGTGTCAGTGTTCAAATAGTAGGGGCATAAAAACAGCATAGGAGGTCAGTGTTCATATAGTAGGGGCATAAAAACAGCATAGATAATCAGTGTTCATATAGTAGGGGCATAAAAACAGCATAGATGATCAGTGTTCATATTGTAGGAGCATAAAAACAGCATAGTGTCAGTGTTCAAATAGTAGGGGCATAAAAACAGCATAGGAGGTCAGTGTTCAAATAGTAGGGGCATAAAAACAGCATAGATGATCAGTGTTCATATAGTAGGGGCATAAAAACAGCATAGGAGGTCAGTGTTCATATAGTAGGGGCATAAAAACAGCATAATGTCAGTGGTCAAATAGTAGGGGCATAAAAACAGCATAGGAGGTCAGTGTTCATATAGTAGGGGCATAAAAACAGCATAGTAACAGTGTTCAAATAGTAGGGGCATAAAAACAGCATAGGAGGTCAGTGTTCATATAGTAGGGGCATAAAAACAGCATAGGAAGTCAGTGTTCATATAGTAGGGGCATAAAAACAGCATAATGTCAGTGGTCAAATAGTAGGGGCATAAAAACAGCATAGGAGGTCAGTGTTCATATAGTAGGGGCATAAAAACAGCATAGTAACAGTGTTCAAATAGTAGGGGCATAAAAACAGCATAGGAGGTCAGTGTTCATATAGTAGGGGCATAAAAACAGACTAGGAGGTCAGTGTTTATATAGTAGGGGCATAAAAACAGCATAATGTCAGTGGTCAAAAAGTAGGAGAATAAAAACAGCATAGGAGGTCAGTGTTCATATAGTAGGAGCGTAAAACAGCATAGGAGGGCAGTTTTTCAAATAACAGGAGCGTAAAACAGCATAGGAGGTTAGTGTTCGAATAGTAGGAGCATAAAAACAGCATAGGAGGTCAGTGTTCATATAGTAGGAGCGTAAAACAGCATAGGAGGGCAGTTTTTCAAATAACAGGAGCGTAAAACAGCATAGGAGATCAGTGTTCAAATAGTAGGAGCATAAAAACAGCTTAGGAGGTCAGTGTTCAGATAGCAGGGGCATAAAAACAGCATAGGAGGTCAGTGTTCATATAGTAGGAGCATAAAAACAGCATAGATGGTCATTGTTCACATAGCAGGAGCGTAAAACAGCATAGGAGATCAGTTATTAAATAGCAGGATCGTAAAAACAGCATAGTGTCAGTGTTCAAATAGTAGGGGCATAAAAACAGACTAGGAGGTCAGTGTTCATATAGTAGGAGCGTAAAACAGCATAGGAGGGCAGTTTTCAAATAACAGGAACGTAAAAACAGCATAGAAGGTTAGTGTTCAAATAGCAGGAGCGAAAAAATAGCATAGGAGGTCATTGTTCAAATAGCAAGAGCGTAAAAACAGCATAGGAGGTCAGTATTCAAATAGCAGGAGCGTAAAAATAGCATAGGAGATTAGTGTTCAGATAGAAGGGGCATAAAAACAGCATAGGTGATCAGTGTTCAAATAGTAGAAGCGTAAAAACAGCATAGGAGGTCAGTGTTCATATAGCAGGGGCATAAAAACAGCATAGGAGGGCAGTGTTCAAATAGTAGAAGCGTAAAAACAGCATAGAAGGTTAGTGTTCAAATAGTAGAAGCGTAAAAACAGCATAGAAGGTTAGTGTTCAAATAGTAGGAGCGTTAAAACAGCATAGGAGGTCAGTGTTCATATAGCAGGGGCATAAAAACAGCATAGGAGGTCAGTGTTCAAATAGTAGGAGCGTAAAAACAGCATAGGAGGTCAGTGTTCGAAAATGTAAAGTTCAGTTGTGTTCAAGCAGAAGGTGTGTACAAATATTTGCACAAGAGGTTAATGTTTGAATAGCAGAGGCCTATAGGTCATTGTATAAACAGAAACCAGGGGGGTAGTAAACTTGTATACAAAGGCATTTTTCAAACAGAATGGGGGGTACAAATGTATTAAATGTATACAAGGTCATTGTTCAAACAGAAGGGGGTGAAATTGTATATGAGGTCATTGTTTTAACAAAAGGGGGGTATAAATGTATACAGGGCCATTGTAAGATTGCATAGGAAAGGGGTTATTCATGAATTTTATATGACATGGAAAGTTATATCAATATATTCAATTCATATTTTGAAAGGTAAGCTCACTTAAACAGTAAGATATGGATTTTCTAATGAAAGCATGTCATGTATTTTTGAGATGTGACATTTTTGGAATTTTTAACAACACACCTACTATGTTGATAAATTGTAATGCAATGAATTGGGTCCACCAGCAAGGTCTCATGAACCTATCACCCTTAAAGTCATACCATAGCGTGCTAGTTTTGTAAGTGTGTTTTAAACATTTAAGGGGGTTCATTATATGCTACATGGTAGTAATTTGGTAGCTTTACCTCCTCCAGAGCCGCTTGTCCTTACTGAGGACAGGAAAGCCATCACCGAGGAGGACGTTCACAACTGGAAACGTCGCCGGCTACGGGGTGCCAAAAGTGCTGAGTCACTGTTGGCGATGTCACTGCCGGGTCTGGACTGCGGACGAATCTCACGAGACTTTGAGGAATCCCTGTATAGGATTTACTCAGGTTTGTTTACTTATTCTACTGTAGAGTTGCTCAATTTCATGGGTAAAAAAAGTTGACACATTTGTATCCAGAATTGATTCAGTGTTGAGTGAGACAATCTAAGATTTGTTAATTGTTCAGTTGCCAGCTGGTTACAGGAAATTCTAGAATTCTAGGAATCATACCTTGATATTATGTCATATTAAGTAGGAACATTTGGACATCTTTCTCAAATTTGATATCTTAGATCCTCTTGGACCCTAGTTAGGGTTAGACATATTTCCATTGGAGTTTGATCAGATAAACTAAAGAGCTGAGAGATGGCCATCTTGGATATCAACAGTTAAGATTTGTTGTCGCTGTTCCTTAGATCCCTCTCAAATTCAATATATAGTCTCTACTTGGTCTCTAGTTGTACAATTTTACTTTTGAGACTGATCGTAAACGAATGGCTGACATGGCCATATTGGATTTTTGTCTCGCCGCCATGAAGTGGAAGCGAGACTTAGGTGTTGCTTTTCTGGCGTCGTCGTCAACATTAAGTGTTTGCGTTTAAGTTAGTTTCTCTCTAAGTATAAATGCTGCATCAACCAAACTTGGACCATACATGCATCTTAGGAAGTACATCTCAACCCATGCATCAAATGCTGGATGCGGCCTTCCTTTCATGGTCCTTTGACTTTGTCAGCATCTCCATCAACATTAAGTTTTTGTTTTTAAGTTAGTTTCTCTGATATGTGCATTGAATCAAAGCGAGGCATAGGTGAAACATATCAATCCGAATGGCTTGTGACAATTAAGTTTTGTTATCTCTATTTCTCAGAAGCACTGGAGGGATATTTCTCATATTTTATATCCCCTTGTTCCCCATGGGTTTAAGATGCCCCAGGCCCTAATGAGAATTCATCCCTTATTGACAGTACTTCTAATTATCTAACAATTATAATATTTCAGCATTTTGCATATAGTTCTGCAATTCTTATACAATGACATTTGCCATGGTGGCAACTTATATATGACATTGAAATATTTAAGTTAATGTACAAGATTTCCGGGTAGGATTCCCAACATGGGACTGGGTAATAGTACCTGTAAGGAAAACTAATTATAAGAGCAAAGAAGGTAAAAGATCATGTTTTGTAGTACTGATAAAGGTCCTTTCATAGTGGGCGCTGAGATCCCTCTAGGATCTCTTGTATTTGGTTTATTGGTTAATTATGTACTGTTGGACAGTAGACATGTCTGTGCATAAATAACTAAATAAATAAATGTAACTAGGTGCAATAATAAACTTCCGGCTGATCATGTCAGATAAATAATTAATTGGTGCCAAAGTGGCCTTCATTATTATTTTATTCTCAATTTCTCCTCAACTCTGTGTACATGATAATTCTGTGTGTTTAGGATATACATGATAATTCTGTGTGTTTAGGATATACGTTTATAATGCTTACTTGATTGTATTACAGAGGATGAATCGAAGCACCCCAGTATCCGACACAAACGGTCTTTGTCCTCCGAGTCGCCACGCACCATGATGCACTCGGACCATTCCGTATCCTATCCCTCTTTCATCATGACCGGGTCACGTGAGGTTGGCATTGATGTCGATACCTGTGGGACAAGTTGTGGTTAGTATTGTATACGTACCTACAGATTGGGGGCTTATTTGTGGTCAAATATGGTAGTCTAATTGTAAGATTGGTGGAGTTTAGATATACACCTAGGCTTTGGTCAGGACTGTCTACTTAGATAGTCTACCTGTAAGATTGGTGGAGTTTAGATATACACCTAGGCTGAGGTCAGGACTGTCTACTTAGATAGTATAACTGTAAGATTGGTGGAGTTTAGATATACCCCTAGGCTGTGGTCAGGACTGTCTACTTAGGTAGTCTAATTGTAAGATTGGTGGAGTTTAGATATACCCCTAGGCAGTGGTCAGGTCTGTCTACTTAGATAGCCTAACTGTAAGATTGGTGGAGGTTAGATATACACCTAGGCTGTGGTCAGAACTGTCTACTTAGATAGTCTAATTGTAAGATCGGTGGAGTTTAGATATACACCTAGGCTTTGGTCAGGACTGTCTACTTAGATAGTCTACCTGTAAGATTGGTGGAGTTTAGATATACCCCTAGGCAGTGGTCAGGTCTGTCTACTTAGACAGTCTCACTGTAAGATTGGTGGAGGTTAGATATACACATAGGCATTGGTCAGGACTGTCTACTTAGATAGTCTAACTGTGAGATTGGTGGAGTTTAGATATACACCTAGGCAGTGGGCAGGTCTATCTAAGTAGACAGACCTGACCACTGCCTAGGAGTATATCTAAACTCCACCAATCTTACAGGTAGACTATCTAAGTAGACAGTCCTGACCTCAGCCTAGGTGTATATCTAAACTCCACTAATCTTTCAATTAGACTACCATATTTGACCACAAATAAGCCCCCAATCTGTAGGTACGTATACAATACTAACCACAACTTGTCCCACAGGTATCGACATCAATGCCAACCTAACGTGACCCGGTCATGATGAAAGAGGGATAGTCCTGACCTCTGCCTAGGTGTATATCTAATCTCCACCAATCTTACAATTAGACTATCTAAGTAGACAGTCCGGACCTCTGCCTAGGTGTATATCTAAACTCAACCAATCTTACAATTAGACTATCTAAGTAGACAGTTCTGACCACAGCCTAGGTGTATATCTAAAATCCACCAATCTTACAGTTAGACTATCTAAGTAGACAGTCCTGACCGCAGCCTAGGTGTATATCTAAACTCCACTAATCTTTCAATTAGACTACCATATTTGACCACAAATAAGCCCCCAATCTGTAGGTACGTATACAATACTAACCACAACTTGTCCCACAGGTATCGACATCAATGCCAACCTAACGTGACCCGGTCATGATGAAAGAGGGATAGTCCTGACCTCTGCCTAGGTGTATATCTAAACTCAACCAATCTTACAGTTAGACTATCTAAGTAGACACTCCTGACCACAGCCTAGGTGTATATCTAAAGTCCACCAATCTTACAATTAGACTATCTAATTGTAAGATTGGTGGAGTTTAGATATACCCCTAGGCAGTGGTCAGGTCTGTCTACTTAGATAGACCTGACCACTGCCTAGGTGTATATCTAAACTCAACCAATCTTACAATTAGACTATCTAAGTAGACAGTCCGGACCTCTGCCTAGGTGTATATCTAAACTCAACCAATCTTACAATTAGACTATCTAAGTAGACAGTCTAATTGTAAGATTGGTGGAGTTTAGATATACACCTAGGCAGTGGTCAGGACTGTCTACTTAGGTAGTCTAACTGTAAGATTGGTGGAGTTTAGATATACACCTAGGCAGTGGTCAGGTCTGTCTACTTAGATAGTCTAACTGTAAGATTGGTGGAGGTTAGATATACACATAGGCAGTGGTCAGGACTGTCTACTTAGATAGTCTAACTATAAGATTGGTGGAGTTTAGATACCCCCCAGATTAGATATTTTTTGGGAAAAAATTTGAAATGAAATGCTTACATGCCAAATTATTTTTTTTCAAAAAAGAGTGTCCTTACAAAGGAAATAATGATTAAATTGGCCAAATTGTAAACACATTGAGGAAATGAAGTAGGAAACAAACCATATTTCATTTAAGTCTTGTCATACGAGTATTCCTATTTTTTTTCTTGTTTTACAGATACGCCAGACAGTACACCAACTGAGAACGGAGTGTCTGACAATCGACCGGAGCGTAAACAGTCCTTTGTAAGGGGGGATAACAAACGTAAGGTTATCAACCATCGGCGGTCACCATCCGGGCAATCCACACCCAGGCAGGAACAGGATCGACGGTCACCATCCGGGCAGGAACAGGGAGCTAGCACGGGCAGTAAAGGAGCAGACAAACATAACAAGGCAGACCTGCCACCTGGTGGTGTTCGCAAGTCACAGGAGGGACGGCAAGATGATTCTGACAAATTTGTGCTACATGTGAAGGATGCTAATCTGTTGAAGCCTTCAGATCAGCTTAAGTCTCCAAATCTGATACCAAACGTCTCACCAGAAGATAAGCGAGAACATGGCCGGAGAGGCAGCCGAACACCACCTGCCACCAGGGGTCGTCTTCGTGATGACAGGGTCAAAGAGAAGAATTCTCAAGCAGATGATGGGAAGGTTGTGACCATAGAACTTCCAGAGAGTCCAGGTGCCAAGAGGAAAAACTGGATGGGTGGCAGTGGTGCGTCAACACCAGCGGGCACTCCAGACGAACCCCCGCCCTCTCACTTCTACTACTCCAAACATCACGACTATGCAGAAATCCTTTCCGATGATGAGAAGTCAAGATTTGGTATTGACGAAGGTACGAAAACCTCTCCAATGGATATTTCAGGCCACAGAGAGACAACGTTTGGTGCAGATAAGAAAATGTATGTGGATAAGTGTCGCTCTGTTGGAACACCATCGTCTTCCCTTTCGTCACCAACAACATCCGACCCTTCATCTGGAACTCCGGAGCGTGTCAGAAACATGGATGGTAAAGTCGTGAAGATGACATCATCAGCTATTTTACAACAAAGTGTCAGTGAAACAAATGATTTGTCTGTGTCTAAGATGTCGAAGTGCCTGAGTGTACCTGCTGACATTCAGAAGTCTTTGGAGGATATGACATCCTATGCTGGCTCTCGTGAGGACATGCTCAGCTCCATCACCATCAGCGAATTGTCAGCGTCAACAGACAGTTTCGCACGCTATGAAGACAGTAACACAGCTGCTCGTCGGAGACGTAGTGCCTCAGTGGACAGTTTCAACGAAGCTGAATCGCCACTCACACGGACCCTACGAGAGATCAATGCACAAATTGACAAAGCATTCAGGCGAGATTTGGACAAGGGCAATCACTTACAGGAAGGAGAACGTCCCAACAACCGTAGTCGTTCAGGATCTTTTGACAATATCCCGTCAGATTACCAGGGAGAAAACATTGGTTTCTCATCTCCTAATATCATCCCACCCCTGCCTTCAGAGTCTGCTGATACAAAGACCACGTTTGTTGAACGCCCGGCTGAAGAGATTCAGGTAATTGAGACTGCCCGTGTCATCAGGGCACCCCTAAGGCCGTCAACGTCTAACCAAACAAAGCTAGCACACATTAATACCCAGAATGCCTCACCGACAGGAAGTGATATTTCAGGATACAGTGAGAGCCAAGGAAAGTTGAGTCCTCACCTTGTCATGCGTGGTGCATGTAGCCAACAGTCAAGTTGTCTTCCGAGTCCTATGTCTCCATCAGAAGAGCGAATTAAATTTGGACTCTCTGATGACGAGTGTCCCGTCAAAAGCCGAAATCAAGACAATAAGATGAAGCGTTCAGATTCCCGTCATGGGTGTGTAGAATTTGATCTGTCAGATGAAGATCTGGAGTTCTTGTCTCGTCAAGGTATTATACAGGAAATGAAAACAACGCGCCGGGTGAACAAGGACGGGACACCCTGTAGTCCACTTATGTCACCAAGTGAGACCCCACATCATGTGACCTCTCCTATGCAATGGTCCCCAGAGATGGGATATAGGGACATACCAAAGTCACAGTCCTATTCTGGGTCAGGGTCCTCTTTTGTAGGTGGTGCCTCCTATAGTCCCTCAACTGGAAAAGCAAGTGATGCAAAAGTAGGTGACGGATCACCAACCACAAAGGGTCATTCTGTACATAAAACCAAACCTCCTGCCAGGCGTGAATTTGCAAAATTGATGCTGGAATCTGATCACGATGCATCCAACAAGTCATCCAAGTCAAGCCCGCGGTCTCCTAGGCAACAGCCACGGTGGGAAGACCTTGCAGGACTGAATCAGGACTTTGGGGCTATTCCATCAGTCAAACAAATTACAAAGGTGGGAGACTCGGCAATGGTCAAAACACCGAAAGACAAGGTCAAGGTCGAATCAGATTCCACTTCTGACGATTTTGACAGAAAACTACAAAATTTGTCTGATTTTAATGATGTCTGGCGCCAGCAACTGGCTCCCACAGGAGATGTGTGTCGCAACGTCTCTAATGATGACCAGGTGCTTAATTCTTCTGATAGATTTCGTCCCCAGCTTAAAAAATCTCTGACAGTTGGTGCCATAGAGACATCAACATCAATGGGCAGTCATAAAAAAAGGGAAAAAACTCCTGAGTGTGGTACACAAGATCAGACTGTGACAATGGAAAAGCCAATGATAAAGAAATGTTTGACCGAGTCTGACATTCCTCGGATACGTCAGTGTAGTATAATGACTCAGGACAGTCAGAGTACTTCCTCCTCAAGTGGGACATCAGACGCGCTCACAGAAATACACACAGTCACTGATCGCATGACGGTGGAGAAACCGTCTATACGACGAGGTGAGTTAAAACAAAATGACACAAAACTCCCATCTGCTAGTCAAAAGTGTGACCGTGAGGAGAAGGCGTCGTTTCCAAAACCACGCAAAATTCAGAAAATGGATTCTTTTGATTTTCCACTGGAAAATTCCTTGCAAGAGAGAATGGACACCTCTGGTCCGTCTGAAGAGAGGTTGGGTCCTGTGGATAATCAATACAGCCATGCTGTTACAGCAGCAACTCGCAATCATGTTGTATCATCTAGTCAATCGGATAGTGTGTCAGCCTTGGCGAGTAATACTTACAATACAAACAATGTTGGGAGTGCCGGACATTACAGTGAGTCGTCCAGATCAGAGAATACTGCATTCACGGAGCGCGACCATGCCCAGCCATTCCAATCTATGCTGGAAGATATTGACGTGAACGAGAGTTGTTTTGGCATTCCTACTCATCAAAACTTGTCAAATGAGTTTAGAGAAAAAATGAACGAGAGATTAAAATCACAGTCACAACAGAGTAGTTTAGATTCCCCAAGTGTGGTGGCCATGGAGTCGTTTGTGTACCAGGAGCAGTCGGAACATGAGGTCCATGTAGGATTTGCCAGACCAGTTGTAGATATGAGTCACATCGAGGCTGCAGCACATTTTGATCAGGGGGATTACGAGGGTGAATTCCAGTCAAGCACACGGATGGAGGTGGAAGCAGGGTTGTCATCCATCAGTCTGCCAGCAGAGAATCTCTGCTCTGTGTCACAAGGCCCTGCAGTCATGCTTGACAACACAGAGGAAGCCCATCAGAACGCTGTCAATGCTGATTTGGAACTGACCATGTCACAGAAGTCGCCACATAGCATGACAACATATGACGCGGATGACTTTGATGACGATGACGCATGTTGCTCTAAATTAAGGAATATTGTACACAAAGACGATTACAGTGAAGCAGAATCTCCGTGGCAACAGAGTCTATCCGATCTCCCAGAGTTACCTCCTCCTGAAAGGGAATTTATGGAAGTGAGTCGCCCCAGTGTTATAAAGTGTTCAAAGTCCCGCAAGAAGTCTGAGCCTCGATCAAATGTTGCCATCAGGCGGACAATGTCGGAGCGATCAAAGGCTGAGGAAGCGCTTCTTCAGCGAAGGGAGGTGGGTTTGCATCGGAGAGAGACTGGTATTCCAAAGGTTAAGTCAGAGAAGAGGAGTGCAGACAAGGGAGGATCAAAGGGTCAGAGGTCAGAGCGAGGAGAGACCAAGCTGGTACTGGAAAGAAAGACAAGTTTGAAGAAGGGGAAGGATAGCTTACACAATGCATTGTACGTGGAGGCAGGTGAGGCAAGTGATGCAGACACGAATGATGATGTTTTTATTGATGCATCAGCTGGACAGGATATACCAAGGGAAAGACAGACCCAGAAGTTTAATCTGGAGCGGAACCAAATGTCGGCATTTATCAACGATCCACCAAGTCGCAGCTCGCTTGACGAGTCCTTCCTCCAGGTGGCATCCTCGCGTCATGACGACTTTCTAAGCAGAGACGAGGCAGGACAGCAAGAGGATATTCGTTTCACTCGTGCCCATAGATCCACAAAGCTGAAAAGTTTGCGAGAGTTGTTCGAGAAGACAGCCGGGGAGTATGAGGCATCACAATCAAAGAAGAAACAGTCATCATCGTCCCAGGAAAAGCTTGTTTGTATGCCGGCAGGTGAAGCAGAAAACAGTGAGACAGTTAGATTACACAGTGCGCGTAGTGCCTTTGCCTCCCGACGTTCACATTCGCACACCGAACGCTTTGTGATGGACAAGGAAAATGTTTCTACACAGTTCATAACAACCTCAGATGAGTGGCAGATGCCAAGAAGTCGTCGTAGCATCTCCACTGACATTGGATATGAACTCGGCAGGAAAAAGGAGACAACTCGCCGAGAGCGTTCGTGGGATCGTCAGTCTAGCTTCACGAGTGCTAGCAAACCACCGAAACATCGCAGCTGTTCACGGAATCGCACGGCAAGCGAATCCTCAGTCAGCGAGTCCGAGAACCGCGTTGGAAGTTCTCGTAGTTCTCCAAAATCTCAGCGTCAAGATGGATGTTCCTCTGGGCAAGATGGCTCTCCAAAGTCAAGGATACCAACAAAAATCCATGACACTGGATCACCAAAGCTTGTCAAAGACACTGCTCTTAGAAACTCGCCAAAGGCTCAGCATTTAGATGGGGGCTCTGTTTCAAGGCCAGATGCAACTATCTCCCCAAAATCTCGTAAAGGAAGTGAATCTCCTTTTTTACAAAAAGCATGTGACATCTCTATACCCTCACAACGAAACAGACAGAGGACAGATGATTCGCCTAAAGTGTTACGCCGTGTGAGTTTTGGACGAAGTGACAATACTCCTGCCGAAGGTTCTCCAAAATCCCCACGGGCATGGAGGTCCCCGGGCAATAGGAGGTCATTGTCAATAGAAACCTCCATAGCAACAGTAGAAACATTGGAAAAAGACACTACGGTGCAGAGAAGTTCTGAAAGAACTCTAAGTCAGTCTTGTATACTGCCTAGCTCCAAAGGGAGTCAAGGGGGTGTGGAGGATTGGGGTGGGTCGGGGACAGAGGGGTGCAATCTCGAGCGGAGAGGGAGCATTAAGGAACTGAGAGAGTTTTTCGAACAGAAACATGATGCTGACACTCAAAGTGCTGATAATTTATTGTTAAGGTCGAGGGTTCGGAGTGTGTCGCCCACACTTTGTCAATCACATCGCCATGAATCTCTAGAGACAGTCAATGTTCGTCACAGTCTTGAACTGCCATCAAGGGGGGCAACTCCGCCTTTAGAAGGGTCAGTCCGCTCTCAGCCGATCCGGCTGGGTCCTAAGCCATTCTATGGAGCGAGAAAATGAAATGTATGATAATAATTACTCCCTTGTTAAGATGTACAACATTTTAACCTTTTTAGTATTTTTAAAAATCTAATAGTGTATGTTCGCTACTTATTATATGACCTAGTCTGTATATTCTGATTAATATAAAGTGAAGAAGTCACATCTGTGACATGGGTGACAATATACAGGGTTTAAAAGTCAACTCTACCTTAAGGCAACCTCTATATAATGGTTACCAGCAAAGAAAGCTTACCAATGCAGGTAGATTTTCTCTATAGACAGATTAAATAGTCATTCTCCTTCGTAAAGGTTACAGTAATATAAAAGTTCTGTTTTGTTGTTTTCGCTGAATACCAGTTCCCACTTTGTAAGCTGTTAATGAGAGGTGAAGTGTATGCAGCTGTGACTTTATATAATGCTAACTTCTACATCAATACTATAATGTAAAAGATAACACGTATACAGTAATTTTATGTTGTTATGTATTGTTGAACAATACCATGGAAACCGTTATATAGAGGTCACCTGTAAGGACAAGTTCAATCTATGAAGATGTGATTTTTATGTAGAGTGGATTTTTATATAGAGTTGACCTTTAAAACTTACAAATATTGTATAATACTGGCTTCTCCCAGTCAGTATAAATTATGCAAGTGCTTACTGATCCAGTCAAAGTACTGATCAGGAGAAAAATCCCAGAGTTCACGAGTGAAAGATCATGGTCAGGGTGTAAGGTCAATGCTAGGTAAAACATACTGACATTAAACGTTCATAATAGAAGGAAGTTATAAATTGCAATTTATGTTTGTGGAGAGAGAAGAAGGGGGGGGGGGGGGGGGGGGGGGGGGGAGGGTCGTGTACAAATTGTCCTGGGTCAAACAGTCTAGTCATACTTAATGAACTTAATGGAGACTCAATACAATCATAGCCAGATAAGGTACCGCCTTGTCTCTAGTGCATAAAAAAGGACACTGAAATCACAACACATTCAAGATTTCTTCTGGAATACTTTGAAGGATTTTGGTGAGCAATAAGTTTTTGAGTGATGAAAACATTGATCGTGAGTGAGTTCTGCCAGTGAATGTACTCTTATCTGGTTGTGATTGTAGTGACTTCATGTCATACAATTGTATTTTTTACAGCAATATAGTGCACACATGCGATATCTCGGTGAGTGTGGAGTAGTCTTATACGTGACTGCTGGATATATCAGTAATCTTAACTATTAATGCAAGGCCACGGTTTCACGAACATAGATTTCCCCTTGATTAAACGCTGCTTTCCCTATGTAGAAATGTTAAGTTAAGGGGGAATTTAGGAAGGTTTGTAAATTCTGACTTTATGTGTTTAACCTTATTTTTAATCATTATGTAAGAAATATATCACTCAAGTTATGTAATGCAGCATATGTAAATTTTAGTGTACTTTTAAATATGTGTATTCAAATTGAATACGTCATGATAATGGTAAAATGATCAATTGCAGTAAAACACATGTTATCACTACCCCTGAAGAGAACACATACCCGTAAGTAATGAACCCTAAAAGAGCTAAGAGTTCAGTGCTCTGCAGTAAAACTTGTTCAACCAAATCTTATTGAAACACAAGAAATTAGTTGTCTGTAGTAAAACACGATCTTAATGAATGCAATAGGGCTAAGAGTTTACCCAAACCCTGTGAAGACATCATGAAATAATAGTCTACAGTAAAACACGTTCATAATGAACCCAAGACAGCTATTCCGTCTTTGCGTATTGCAGAGTTATCTTCTCTTGGGAGCAGGTATTGATTGTTACGTCATTGGTTTGTGTGAGAAAATTATGTCGTTTTCTCAAAAATCGATGACGTTACTCTCACAAACAAGTGACGTAACAAATAATACCTGCTCCCAAGAGAAGATAACTCTGCAATACGCAAAGACAGAATAAGGACAAAGTATCCGCCCTAAAACAAGCCTTCATTGCCTCTCTTCATTAAAAAATGTTTATACCAAACACATTAAAGACATCAGAAAATAGTTTTCTTCTGTAACACACGTTATGACCCAAAACGAGCTAAGAAATAAGTTCTCTACAGTAAAACAAAAATATAAGGAACTCGAGTAGGAAAACTGACTAATTTGTTATCATCAGTAAACCCATAAGGCAAATTTTCTACAAGCATGTGGTTAGTGACACAATCTCATGCTGAGGCACAGAAATGAGACGCCGTTTTCATATTGATATTTTGTGTTCGTTATACATTTGATTTACTGTATACTTATTTACCTTAAAGTTTCAAGGAGATAACAAAGAAAACCTATTCCACTATGAGATAGTCACTGGTGTCACCATCGTTGTTTAGTATTTTATAATGGATTGGTTGTTCTGTGAAACAAAATGAGGAATTATTAAAAAACACATTAACATTATAGATAAACAAATAAATGTTGGGAAATCTACTGTTCCGTCAGACCCAAATCAAAGAACTGCCATCAGGAATTCCTTGGATACGGTGCAATAATGTATAAACATCCCTGACAACCTAAATAGTATTCTTTTATATCTGGTGTCATATTAATCATAGGTCAAGTTTTAAAATCTCGGTGGTAAAATATTTTTCTTTTCTTATCGAGTTTCATCAAATAAGTTGCAAAATTATGGTAAATTATGGTAAGATAAAAGAAGATGGTGTACTGAAGAGAGTCGGAATAAAGCATGTATCGGACGAGGATTTATTGACAGAATGTTTAGCAGCAACAATAATTTTCATGGCAGCTTTGTTTTTATTGTAGAGATTTTTAACCACATTAAATCCTTCCATGAATTTTAATTACTTAATGGTTTTATCAGATCACTCTTTTATTCAACTACGCCAAATATTTAGTTTGATATATACTTAGCAGACTTTGTCGTTCGATCGTGTGTTTTATTTTAAATGTACCATTCAGTATTTATATAGACTTCCTTTCTCGACCATCATGCCCAGCAACGTTTAGCAGTTTGCTGTGGAGAGTTTTCTTTATGTCGCGACATTTGAAATTGCTGTCGATGATTTACACGAAAACATACATGCATATTACATTCAGATGGGCAGATTGCCCCAAGTGAATAGAATCTCAATTTTTCAGCCCGTCCATAAACTTACTTTAAAATGTTATATGAAACAATGAAAATATCGAAAAATATTTGGCCAACATTTTTGAGGAAGACGGGTAGATAATATAACAGAGCAGTTTTCTTTGAAATAATGGATTCTTTGTGGTATTATTTTAAAAGGGGATGGTTGATGGTCATTTTGGTCATCTTTTTAACGATTTCAATGGAGTCATTAATATTTGTTTTAATGATTTTAAAATTGATGAACCCAGAAAGAACCCTGGGTTACTGCTGTCAAACAGATTTAGAGTTACTGATCCTGTCCTTAAGCTGGATATTAGTGAGTTAGGGCTGACATGTGATTTTTTACCAATTGTAATATTATTTTTAACTGCAACCGAACAATCGGAATGAATTTTTAATGTCATAACTTGGGTTTAATTTGTATGTTGTCCCTGTAGTGTGTTGTGGAACGCAATGAAGAAAGATGTTTTAAGTTTATTTTGTTTATTAGGGGCGGTATATAAATGAAAATAATATAATTCGGGGGGGAAATGCATTTCAAAATAGGGATGAGCAGGGTAAAAAGTTAACCTAAATGTATTTCAATCTTGGCCTGGTATAATGGTGTGCCTTTTAACTAAGTGTATTTAAAGCGGCAGACTCCTGCAGGGGAGACAACTCCTTGACATAAACTTCTTTGTACAGTATGCGTTGTACGTTAACTCATGAACACAAAAGCCATTTCATTTCGGGCCTCGGTTTCACAAAGCATTTTCATTAACATTGTTTTCCGAAATGAAATTCCCACGTTAGTTAAACAAATATAAACCTAAGTGAGGGGACGTTTAGAAATCGGGGCCACTACAACGGAGAGATGTACATATTTGAATGGTTAGAACACACTGAAAAATACTTGTGTTTTGTCGTTTCCATTAGATAGTGTATTGATCATATGTTTACAGTATAACACTGGTTTTTAATGTGGTCCTGCTTATTATAGAATTAATCATGGTAACACTGAATTTCTTGTAATTTTTACTAGTGATATATGCAATATGACATTACTAATTAATTGTTTCTTTCACGAATGTTAGCCAAATGTCAGCGGGAAGTGGTCATCTTTATATCAGGATTTGTGTTGCAAAAAAACCTTAAAACGATATTTTTAACTTTCGAGTTCAGCTTGGAGATGAGCTTTGACCTAGACCAAGTTAACTCATTCACCCCTGACATTTTATAATGAACTATTTCAACCTTTGAATTGGAAGGGTTTAAATGTGTCTTCAGGGGGGAATGAGTTAAAGGGTCAATGTTTACTAAGAAGATGTGTATAGTTCCGAAAGTCATTCTGATAAATTCTTCAGACTACTGTTTTAATAATAGGTGACTATGTGATTAGGCTCTGGTTACTTTTTTTTCAAAAAAGACATGTTCTGTATATTTTTGTTTCAAGGTTTCAGTTTATTCTAAAACCCTGTGTTAATTCTTTGTGGTTTTTTTTTTTACAAGTAAAGCTTGTAATCCTTAACAAGGTGATTTAACAAATGATGAAAGTGTTGTGCCAATCTTCTTAAAAATAAATGTACGTGATTTGCGGCCGACAATCAAGCTTCGACTAAGAGCCTAATGCCATAGACATTATATTACATCTCAGATAGTGGATAGACATTATATTACATCTCTGATAGTGGATAGACATTATATTACATCTCAGATAGTGGTTAGACATTATATTACATCTCAGATAGTGGTTGTAACTTAGTACTATTTCATCAGTGAAAAAGGGCAGATAGTTCGAGTGATTTCGTAGAAAGTTTATATGTGAACTAATAATCGACTGACAGGAAACTAACCTCATAAATTGAACATTAACGTAATTTCTGACAGTTCATTACAATATGTATACAATTATCAATTTGCTGAAACTTGCCCAAGACATTACAGGAAGTAAAGTTATTCTTTAATTGATAGGATCTGATGAAAGTTTAAGTGTAGGAATGTGGCTGGAAGATCAGGAGAGTGCAAATCATGTGTGGACACTATTGAAAAGATCACAAATGTTAATAGGCTACTAGGAACGGTCGTCGGAGGGAAAGCTGTTTGTAAGGATAGCCAGATATATATTGAGCTAGGATAGTAACGGGGATTATTTACTGAGCTGGGGAAATCAGGGAGGATATAAACAGGAAAATGAAAATACTTCAAATAGAAAAGTTGAGTTGGAGTACTGGCCAATAAGAATGGTTATCCTTTTAAGCACTTAAAGAATAGAGGCACATTTACTAAGATTGGTGACTAAGAAAGAATTTATTTTGGATAATTGGGTTGAAAGCATGAATAATGGACAAGATAAACGGGGCGGGATAGATATGAAATTACCAGGTAAGGCATTTGAGAGAGAAATGAGATGCAATTATATACTGTGGTGCTATAAAAGAACTGACACAGTGGAGGCAACGTCAACAAAGTTACAAGTGGGCGGAGGTGATAAAGGAATGAGTGGGGGAAGTATACTGACACAGTGGAGGCAACGTCAACAAAGTTACAAGTGGGCGGAGGTGATAAAGGAATGAGTGGGGGAAGTATACTGACACAGTGGATGCAACGTCAATAAAGTTACAAGTGGGCGGAGGTGATAAAGGAATGAGTGGGGGAAGTATACTGACACAGTGGATGCAACGTCAATAAAGTTACAAGTGGGCGGAGGTGATAAAGGAATGAGTGGGGGAAGTATACTGACA